CTTGGCCTTCTGTCATCCTGTAGTTGTATTTCTTTTCTTCCACCATGAGAACCGTGGTTCCCGGTCATATTAATATTTTTACTCATTTTCTTAATTCTACAATACACACAGATTAATGTCAGCGTGGCTAGCCCATCCCATTACGAACAGCGGACCTAGTAAGTGCAGCTTGGGGTCTGTCCACAGCTCCTTCTGCCCCATGCTGAGGGTAGAAGGTAACGTGGTATGTGTTGCACTTGCCTTCCCCTGTCTTCCCCCACTGCTCTCCCCTGTCCATGACCAACTTTATTACTTCCTGGTTGTCATGACAGTGTTTTAAGTGAAGTGAAGAGACACATAAGACAGAATTTTCTCAGTGGCTTCACAACAGCATCACATACCTTACGAGGATGCACCATGTTTCTTGCACCTTTCTTTTGCATTTGGGCATCTGAGCTGTTTGCAGTTCCAATTACAGACAGCACAGCAGTGAGGAGCCTCGTGCACGTTTATTTTTGTGGTGCTGGAGGTAAATTCCTGCAGTGGAATTGCTGTGTGGGTGAATCAGTGCACATGTCGTGGTGCTGGATATTGCCGAGCACCCTCTGTGGGGCCCGTGACATTTGCGATTCCACAGCCACACCAGCAGATGAGTTGGCAACCATTCAAAAGCTTGAGGATATGAGTAAGAAATCGTATCTCAGGGAGGTGTTAATGTGCTTTGCTCTTATAATAAGTGGTCAGATTTTCTAAATGTGGATTTTCCACAAATGTGTAAACTTTATATGTGTGAGGACAGCTCTACAACACTCCTGAACAGGGGGCAGGGACATATTAACAGTGCAAGTGGGGTAAAATTTTAATGGTACAGTCAAGGTGAAGGGCATTTGGGTATTTATATAAAATCCTTTCAACTTTGTTGCACATTTGAATATTTTTATTATAAAATATTAGGGGAAAAAGACCCTTCGGAAGACACAGGGGTAGATTTGAACAGGTGGAACATGTTTGTTGAGACTGTGACTGCCGGGTGCGGTGTACAGCAGTGGGGATGAGCATGGCGCCAGGGCGTCTGCGTGGCAGTCTTGCTGTGTGATATTGAGCCAGTGACCTAGCCTCTCTGTGCCACCATTCCCTCAACTGTAAGATGGGGATGACAAAGAATGCCTACCTCGTGGGGCTGTGAGGATTCGGTGAGCTAATATATGTCAAGCATGTGGAATGTGGCTTGGCACATGGTGCTGTGTGAGTGTTAATCCTATCATTGCTAATTTGCTGATAGGATTCATAAATTATTCTAGCTCCGCTCCTTATACTTATTATAATAGTAATCGTTAGCGAGCGTAGTGTTCATTTTTATGGAGAGGATTTCCATTCACTTCTATCCTGGTCTGTTGGGGTGCAGGCTGCCGGGTGGCTCTGCTCATTTGCGTGACTGGTTTCTGGTAGACTTACAGAAATTCCCTCCTGCGCTAGATTAAGATGTTTTATGAGGAGCACCTACACTTGGACGATGAGATCCGCTACATCTTGGATGGCAGTGGGTACTTTGACGTGAGAGACAAGGAGGACAAGTGGATCCGGATTTTCATGGAGAAAGGAGACATGATCACTCTTCCCGCAGGGATCTACCACCGCTTCACACTGGATGAGAAGGTAGGGTCCTTGTGCCTGGTAAGTCTGGTCCAAGTGTGATATCACAATGTCATGGCAATGTCGTGGCGACGTGGCTGGCTTCATTGGACCGATCAACTTAGTGCAGATGGTCCCAGCTCGTGACTCCTGGAGCTTTTTGCGACAGGAAGAGATCCAGCTGGAGTCTGTAGCTGGACTCCTGAGGGGACAGCTATTTATTCTGCGTTAACAGTCAGTAACCTCCACCTTTGTTACTGGCAGACGTGACACACACATCAGTACTCACGCCACTGGTCAAGTCATCAGGAGGGTGGTCCTGCTCCTCTACTAAGATTTTCCAACCATGCTTTGTTATTAATTGTAGGGGTACATTGTTGTGAGGCATCTATAGGGTTGCTACTTTATCATTTTTAAGAGCATGTCAGTTTTGGAATTTAACAGTAGTGCAGTATAGTCATGAGGACTGGCAATGAGAACAGAAAGAAATATGGTGGTTCTTGGGTTCTCTGGATGTGTTTGGATTAAACCTGAGATTTAAGTGTAATTTTTGAATAGATAATAAATGCACATTGTTTAAAGTTTAGAACTATGAAAAGTTATACAGTGAAAAGTCCTGCTATGAAGCCCCCTGGGCTCTCTTGAGCTGGGGTGGTAAGGGGCCTCAGGCCTTGGTCACGCACCCCCACACCCACAGCCAGCCCAGCGACAACCACTGAGCTGCCGCAGGAAGTGCCCCAGCTTCTGCCAAGCAAGGGCGGTGGGGGCCCAGGGCCGTGGCCACCCCCCCCCCACCACA